GACTTTGGCTTTCTGGAGGCCTCAGCCATTTTGATTGTTTATAGGCAGTGTCCATTTTGGATATTTAAAATGACCAATGGCACAGCCATTTTGAATGTTTACAAGTGGTGGCCATTTTGGATATTTAAAGTGACCAAGGGTGCAACCATTTTGAATGTTTAGAAGCTGTGGCCATTTTGGATATATAAAGTGACAGCACTCTCATTCAGATTCAAGGGACCTAAGAATAGGCTCCATTTGCCAAGGACAGCAGGGACATACGGGAGGCTGACAACAGGAAAGGAGACAGGTAGTGAGTGTATAAGTGCTGCCAACTAGTGAGTAGAGGAGTACTGTACCCTGCTTATATAGATAACATCCAAAGAAAAAAAATCTTGAGCATGTCACACAAACATACAATCACCAATCAAATATAAACACAAAAACATCACAATATCTCGGAGACAACAGACCATCATGGAACAAGCAAAATAAAGCAGTAGAAACAAGGGAGCAAGATGCAGACCCAGAACACATCCCTGAGGAAGAAGCAGCATTGGAACTCCCTGATAAGGAATTAAAAATGAATTGAGAGACAGATCAAGGAAAACACTGAAAAAAAATTGAAAGAAACACAGAGAAAACCTTAGAACAATTTTGACAGACAATACAAGAGCAAAATGACAAAATAAATGAAACATTAGAAATCATACAAAATCTACAGATAGAAATCCGGAAGATTAATACTAAATTTTCAGAAATAATACCTTGAATAGGCAAAGGAGTAGAATATAATCAATGGAATACACAATTAGCGAGATTGAAGACAAATACCTCAGTACTTCTTGGAAAGGGATCAATCAGAAAAAAGATCAAAACAAAATGAAGAAAGCCTAAGGTTCATGTGGGATACCATCAAAAGGATGGTATGTGTAATCAGAATTCCAGAACAGGAAGAGACAAATCAAACCATAGAGAAAATTGTCAAAGACTTGTTGGGAGAGAATTTCCTTGGTATGATGAAAGATGAGAATGTATCCATTCAGGAAGTCCAGTGAACCCCAAATAGGATAGACCCCAAAAGAAAATCACCAAGACATATCATCATCAAACTCATCAAATGCAAAGACAAGGAAAGAATTCTGAAAGCAGCATGGGAAAAACAAAAAGTTACCTACAAGGGGGCAATCAATAAGACTAAGCTCAGATTTCTTGGCAGAAACCATGCAGGTGAGGAGACAATGGGATGGTATATAGAAAACCCTGAAAGAGAAAAATTTCCAACCAAGAATTACATATCCAGCAAAATTGTCCCTCAAATATGATGGTGATATTAGGAGATTTCCAGATAAGCAGAAATTAAGGGAATTTGTTAAAACCAGACCAACCTTACAAGAGATGCTAAAGGGTGTCCTTTGGACAGAGAACCAACAACAGCAAACAACAACCGACCATTAACACACATGATGGCATAACCCAGAAACCAACCTGGTTATGGAAATATCCAAAGTAAATATGCCTAGAAGATTGTAAACAGGGGACCAGAGACATCAATGGACAAATAAGGACAACTGCAAATCAAAAAGAGGGGGAAAAAATGTGTAGTTACAGAACTTCTAAATGGTAGGGAAATCAAGACAACTGCAAGATAGAATGGACTGTTCTAAACTTGGGAAGAAAATTATAAATCACAGGGTAACCTCAAAGAAAAGTGATAAACCTTCACATCAAAATAAAAAAGAGGTCCAGCATAAATATTTAGCAAATACTGAAACAATAGCAACAAAGGAAATGATAACACGATTCATAAACAAAACGAGCTGGGCACAGAAAATTATATGAAACAAAGAAATCAGCAGCATCACAAAACAGCACACAACAAAATGACAGCAACCAATTCATACTTGTCGATAATTACACTGAATGTCCATGGATTAAGTGCACCACTCAAGAGACGAAGAGTTGTAGATTGAATAAGAAAACATAACCCATCAAAATGCTGTCCACAAGAGACACACCATAGAAAGACAAAAATAAATTAAAAATCAAAGTTTGGAAAAAGATATATCAAGCAAATGGCAACCATAAAAGAGCAAGAGTGCAATATTAATTTCTGATAAAATTGACTTTAAGACAAAAACCACCATAAGAGACAAGGAAGGACAATATATTATGCTTAAAAGATCAACTGAACAAGAGGATACAACAATATAAATATCTATGCACCCAATGAAAGAGGCCCAAAATACACCATCCAGATTCTAATACAACTGAAAAGACAAATAGATGACTCCACAGTCATAGTAGGAGACTTTAATACACCATTTTCAATCACAGATCGAACAACTGGAAAGAAACTCAACAGAGACGCAGAAGAACTAAACAATACAATCCAATGACTTGACCTTATAGACACCTACACAGCACTTCACTCAACAGCAGCACAATATACATTCTTTTCCAGTGCACATGGAACATTCTCCAGGATAGACCATATGTTAGGTCATAAAGCAAGCCTCAATAAATTTTAAAACATTGAAATATTGCAAAGCATCTTCTCAGATGACAATGCTGTAAAATCAGAAATCAATAATAGGAAGATCAACAGAAAAAGAGCAAACACATGGAAACTGAAAAACACCCTCCTTGAAAATGACTGGGTAATAGAAGAAGTAAAAAATTAAATTAAAAAAATTCCTTGAATCAAGTGAGAATGAAAATACAACATACCAAAATCTTTGGAACATAGCAAAAGCAGTGATCAGAAGCAAACTTTTAGCAATAAATACACACTTCAAACAATAAGAAAGAGCCAAAATCAACCCCTTAGCCCAACATCTTAAGAATAAGTAAAAGAGCAGGAGAAGAAAAAAAAAAAAAAAAAAGCCTACAGTCACCAGAAGAAAAGATATAATAAAGATTTGAGCAAAAATTAATAAAACCAGAAAATAGAAAGATGATAGGAAAAATCAACAAGACTAGAAGTTGGTTCTTTTAAAAGATTAATAAAATTGACAAACCACTGGCAAACTTAATAAAGGAAAAAAAAAAGAAGATGCAAATATGAGTAAGACTAGGTGATAGAACCAATTGAAATAAAAATGATCACAACAGAATATTATGAGCAACTGTACTCCAGCAAATTCTAAAAACTCAAAAGAAATGGACAAGAAGAAACACACTTCCTACCCAAAAGAACATAATTTGAGGTAGAAAATTTGGGCAGACCCATCACAAAAGAAGAAATTGAACACGTATTTAGAAAGCTACCTCTCTCAAAAAAGTCCTGGCCCAGTTGGCTTTGTTGGTGAATTCTACCAAACATTCAGAGAAGAGCTGACACACAAACTGTTCCAGAAAAGGACAGAATGCTCCAAAACTCATTCTATGAAGTAAGCATAACCCTGATACCAATGTCAGGTAAAGGTACCACTAAAAAAGAAAATTACAGACGAATATTCTTCATACCCATAGGCATAAAAATTATGAACAAAATGCCAGGCAATAGAAATCCATCAACATATCAAAAATAATAACACATCATGACCAAGTGGAATTTATACCAGGAATGCAAGGATAGTTTGACATTAGAAAAACAATCAGTGTAGTCCACCACATAAATAAAAAAAGGAAAAGAACAACATGATCATAAAAAAAAAAAAAAAAAAAGTATTTAACAAATTCCAACACCCAATCTTGATTTTAAACAAAAAGAAAGAAAAATAGGAAAAGAAGAGCCTCAACAAAATCAAGGGCATAGTCACAAAACCAGTGGCCAATACTATTCTCAATGGGGAGAGATTAAAAACAGTCCCATTGTGAACAGGAATCAGAAAAATATCCCCTTTATCACCACTCCTATTTGTTATTGTATTGGAAGTCCTAGCCAGTGCAATAAGGCAAGGAAGGGAAATAAAATGCATCCAAATTGACAAAGAGTAAGTAAAATTATGTATATTTGCAGATGATATGATCCTAGACATAGAAAACCCCAAAGATTCAACAAGAAAATGGCTGGAACTAGTAGAAGGACTCAGTAAAGTTTTAGGGAAGTACACCTGCCTTAGGTCAATGAGCCATATGATATCAAAAGGAGAGCATTTGCCCAGGGATAAAGCTCAGAAGCCAGGAAGTGATAGGTGAGAAAAATGAATGGGAACACTAGACACAGGGCAGAAGTGGGAAAGAGTGCTGTTGCATGATGGGGCTTGCAGTTAATGTCACAAAACAAAATGTGGATGGAATGTTGGATGGAAAATTAACTTGCTCTATAAACCTTTACCCAAATCACAATCAAAAGTTATTTTAAATAAATAAGAAGTGAACTGAGATGGTGCATTTGAAGCTTCAAAAAAAGTATTTAGAATACTTTTTGGGGTGATATCAATATCCTAATTGTGATGGTGGTTACACAAATCTATCCATGCGTTCAAACTCATAGAACTGTACACCGTTTGCCATCAAGTCAATTCTGACTCATAGTGACCACATAGGACAGAGAGTTCTGCTCCATAGCATTTCCAAAACTATAATTTATGGAAGCAGACCACCACATCTTTCTCCCACAGAGGGGCTGGTCGGTTCAAATTACCAACTTTTAGGTTAGCAATCAAGCACTTAACCACTGTGCTGCCAAGAGTCTTTCATAAAAGTTTATACCCCCAAAAAGGTCAATTTCATTGTATTTAATTTAAAATATTTTTAGTATAACTGAAAAGTTTTACATTTGTATAAGAATGCTTTTTTCAAACTGGATGGTGGATTCTTGGATGTCATAAAATGACTCTTTAAATCTTACATGTATTTTTTAAAATAGGCCTTTGTATTTACACAATATTTAATAAAATACTGAATATTGAATAAAAACAACTACAGTTTTAAATAAGGTATTTGGGAGAAATAGAGAAAAGTACCTGCCAGGAAATCTATTAAATATACATGTATAATTTAAGTTGACACTAAGAGAAGTAAAGAATGAGAGTAATTTTTAAAATAATCTTTATTGTCTTACTCTTCAACAGACAGGAATGGGTCATTTGCATGTCACAGAAGATGGACTTCGCCTGGAAGGGGAATCAGAATTTTTATTCCCATTGTATGCCAAAGAAATACACTCCAGACTGGTGAGTAAATAATGAGATATTTAAATAATTTGTACTTTATGGAAAAATGCAGAAATTGGATATATTTTTCAGGAGTTATTTTAGAGAATGTACATGGGCAAACATTTATGATATACTCTTCACAAAACATTTGACTATAAGATTGTGGAATTTCTCTCTCATATTATATATGTACCCACCAGTCACTCGTTGGAAGGAAGGTTGGGCAATCTAGTTCTGTAGTAATACTGCCTCGGAAACCCAAGGATGGGTCGCTATGAGTTGGGTCCAACTTGATGACACATAACAACAACAACAACAACAATAACAATTATATATTAAATCAGTTCCATTTTAGATCATACACGACTCAACCCACATGCATATATAGGTATGGTTGAGGATTTGTGTACATACATTTTTGTACATGCTACATGTATATTCATATATAATAGAGGCAATAGGGGGCACAACTATGGAACTTCTTAGACACAATCAAACCCCTCTCAGGCTTGAAGTCTAAGGACCATGGTCTCAAGACACATCTAGATCAATTGGCATAACATAGTGCATGAAGACAATGTTCAACATCCTAGTTTGGTGAGTACTGTTCTGGGGTCTTAAAAGCTAGCAAGTGTCCATCTAAGATACAGCTATTGGTCTTTTCCCACCAAGAGCAAAGGAAACTGAAGAAAACCAAAGACTCAAGGAAGCAATTAATCCAAAAGATTAATGGCCATGTGAACCACAGCCTCCTCCAGCCTGAGACCAGAACTACATGGTGCCCAGTTACCAATACTGGGCCATTTTTACCAGGGATGCAATAAAAGGTCCCAGTTATATGGGAGAAAAATGTAGACCAAAACTCAAATTCATATAAAATGACCAGACATACTGGTCTAAGAGAGACTAGATGATCCCCCAAGACTATTGCCTGAAGTCACCTATCTAACATGGAACTGAAGCCACTCCAAGAGGCCACCTCTCAACCAAATAATAGACTGACCTATAAAATGAGCAAAAACACCCATGAGGAATGTGGTCCTTAGAACAATCAACTATACAAGATCAAAACGGCAATATTTGCCCAAAAGCAAAGATGAGAAGAGGCAAGAAATGGTAGGGAAACCAGACAAATGGAAATGGGAAACCCAAAGTGGAAATGGGGATAGTGTTGACACACTGCAATTCCAATGCCATGGAATAATTTGTGTATGAATTACTGAATGAAAAATTCACTGTGTAAACTTTCACCTAAAGCACAAAAACAGAAAGACTCTATTTCCATGTGCTTCAGATCTGAATTTAATAGCCTCAGTCATTTGGACCACAATAAACAAAAGGTTTTAAAAATGAAAACCTTCACCAAAAACATTAGTGCAAAGTAATTTAAGTTCATTTATTTTAAAGCACTTAAAATTATATGAGCTTAGGAAAAAAATAGTTTCATAGCATTATTTTCTGCATTGATTATACTAATTCCAGATTTTGATCCAGTAGGATTCTCCATGAGTAGATTAAACACCACCATTAAATAATTGTATGGTTTTAAAATTAAATTATGTCTCAATATTCTCTCCATTCACTTCTATGAATTTATAAGAAAAATACAGCAAGAATAAAATACAAATATTGTCAAGCACAATATTTGGAATAATCTTCATTTTTCCTTTTGTGATACTATGAATTTTATAGTAGAGGTAGTTTTGGGAGATTATTGTTAAGTGGTATTATATGAATAAAATGTTAAAGTTTTATCTGAATGTAATTTGGATTTCATTTTCCTTCCCCAGTTCTGGTTGTAAAATGATATTTCAGTATCTCTTCTCTTCAGAGCCTTGTACCAGTGTCTTCGTTTCCATGTACTGTTTTAACAAACATAACCCAAATGGGTAGTTTTAAAGAACAGAGTTTATTTTATCACAATCCAGGAGGCTAGACCTCTGAATTCAGGATATGGTTTCAGGAGTTCCTTCCTTGTCAGTAGTTTCATGGCATTCCTTGGTGTTCCTTGGAATCTGTCTTTCCTCCTGTGTATGTCTGTGTCTGTGCTGCTCTTTACATAACTCAGAAGTGATTGGGCATAGGATCCACCCTACCCCAGGCATGGCATCAACTGACCAATTACATTAGACGGCATTACGTAAAGTGATTACATTAAATTGTATTTTAGAAGTTGATTACATTAAATTGCACTATGGAAGATGATTACATTACTTTAGATTACTTGGTGAATGGTGATTACATTACATCCACAGGTACATTATTGTTGTCAATAGGGAGCTCTGGTAGCATAGTGCCTAAAGCATTTGACTGCTAACCAGAAGACTGGTGGTTCAA